GGAGGTCAAAGTCAAAATGAAAAGTCGAAATGGTCGAAATTACGTCATATCACATGATTTTTTATATATAGAAAAAAAAAACAAAAGATGTACGATCTCAGTCAAATTCGCACCGATTCGTATGATACACCTACCATTCGATTCCTTGCGACATGACGGATCCAATGAGCTAACATTCATTGATTTCGGATTAGCACATCTCGAGATATTTGCGATCGTATTTCGAAATTCAGACTCCTTTATTTAAAGTAGAATTTATTGATTCATAATTTCGGCTGATAATACAATTGCGTTATCTCGAGATTGGATGATCCAAAATCAATGAATGATAGCTCATTGGATTTGTCTAGTCGCGGGGAATCGAATGGTAGTTGTTTCATACGAATCGGTGCGATATTGACCGAGATTGTACGTCTTTTGTTTTTTTATTTTTTTATATATAAAAATCATGTGATATAACATCATTTCGACCATTTCGACTTTCATCTCCAATGGTCGAAATGATTTCGACCATTTCGACCATTTCGGATATCCGAAATGATCTATTTCGACTTCATGTATAGTTTAGAGTATTAGAACCCACTGGTATTATATCATTCATAGGATCATCTGACTCAGTTACTTTGAAATTCTTTAGCTTTTCTTCTATTGGGACTTGAATAAGAGGTTTTTGCTTATATTTGTGGTTTGGATTGGCAGATGTAAAACATCTATAATTTTATTTGTAATATGTCCCCGTAATTTTCCCTTTTCATGACAGTATCATTTTTCATAGCTGTATTCAGAATCTGATCTTTTAATTTAGGATATATTGTATTAATATATTGAGAACCTTCCTTAAGAATTTCTTTAAGAATATGTTGTACAACTGATGATAATATAGATTTTAAGGCTACTAGAAAAACATAATTTATAATCATGATTATGAGTGTTAAGGATTCTGCTTTTTTACGAGACTTGGAAGTAGAGGGTTCCTTCTTGTGAGTCTTTTTCATATGTACTGTACTTTGTATCACTTTTTTTTTACAGTATAGCAGTTTCGGTTAAAGACGTTTAGGATAGATTCGTCATTATTAACATATTTGACATTTTCTTTTACTTCCTCTTCTTCGGGATTTTCTTCCTCTTCCACTATGTATTCTTCTATATATTCTTCTTCAGGATCTTCAGGCTCTTCTACCTCATCATGGTATACAAAATTAACCTTTTTAGTCTGCTTAACTCTAGGACAATTAACCTTTGTATGGCCAGTCTTTCTACAGACAGAGCAATGCTGAACAAGTTTACTTGATGCTTTGTTTGGCACTACTTTTTTAATAAGCTTCTTTGTAGCATAGGCGTTTTTAGAAGTAAAAGGACTCTTTCTTACATGAGCTATCATATCTCCAAATCTTTTTTTAAGATCATCATAGATAAATTGTTCTAAAATTACATTATCTGTTGCTATTCCTGTATATTGCAAATCTCTTGTAAATCGAATTTTAAAATCATTTTTTAGTGAAATAGGAGTAAGTGGGTTGAAGTTCTAATTGGGGTAATATAGGTATTTGATTTGTACTTACACTTGGATTACGTTCTAACTACAAATCTTTTAATTGTGTAAAAAATGCATCTATACCAACAGGATTAGCTATTCTCATCCATATAAAAAGATCACCTGATAAGTGACTTTTAAGAAATCCTAAAACTCACGCATCATTATTTGCAATACCTAATAATAAAGGTTGAATTCTTTTTCATATGTATCAGGTGAATCGTTAGGTAAAAATCTTTCTTGAGTTAATCTCTGAAAGGCCACTTGCTAACTACCTATTGTTTCACGCTGATATTTTGATCTCATCCATAACCGTAAAGTATTTGGAAAATTAATAGGATTAGTACTATTATAAGGATCATTTACTGGAACTGGTATATACTTTCCTTCCAACTTGGATATTAAAAGACCGAATTTAATTGCATCATCAAAATCCCCTGCGTTAGCAGTTTCAAGTGTTGTCATATTTGCCTCTAAATGTGATATAGAATTTCAAATTTTATTTAAGTACTCATCATAAGATTCCTGCCTAGTATATTGTTCATGTTTAGTAAAAATAGTTGCTATTGTATTATATATCGGTTGACATCTAGCTGTTACCATATTTGGTGGATTAATAAGCAGATTATTTTGTAGATTTAAATAATTTGCCGGAAATTTATTTTTTGAGCTTTCCATTTTTGATATCAATTAAATACCCAGGCTCTATTGAATTCTGCTAAGTCTGCCTCAGCTTTATGCCTTCGATTTATTCGACGAAGGCCTATCTTTTCTTGTAATAATATATGATTACACCTTATGCTCTTTGAGTCCTAAACCACCATACCCGATGCTCATTTGCTTCATTATTTAAAGCTTGTGTTAATATTTGATTATCATTTTGCAATCTAGCTCAGACTTCTTGCAATTGTTACCCTAGAGTTCTAGCTTATCGAACACTTTGTTTTACTATCATATTCTGATCTTGCCAATATCTTTGAACTAAATGGATATAGGTAATAATATTAGTCAAACATGTTACCAACTCTATCAAATTGACCTCTTATATCATCTGGAAGAATAATTCCTGTATTATCTAAATGTATCTGAATTCTTGCTAAAGAAGCTGAAGCCTCAATTCACCTATCTAAGATAGCTTGTATTGTATGTTCCATATCCAATATTTCTTTATTATTTGAAACTTTTTTCTGACTTAGTCCAGTTATTTCATAAATGCGGGTCTTAAGTTGCTTAATCTTATCTTCTAGCCTCAAAATATGGATATCTTGTGCAGTACTAGCATTATTTTTATGCCTTAAATCCTGTAATGCTTTGTGAAGACGCTGTTTAAGAGATTTTATCTCAGACTTAAGAGACCTTCGTGAGCTAATATTGCTGAATCCCTAGTGAGATATATTCTTGATCAAAGAATAAAACCCAAATACTTTTTTATTAGTTTGACAGCATTTATTATTCATTGTTATTGTAATAACAAGGACATGTTGCACTTTAACTATTACTTCATCAGGTTCTTGATTTTCTTTTACCTTTTCATAGTAACTGGCGGTAGAGCATAATGTATTTATATCTGGAAATTGAGTAAAGGGAGTTTTCTAATATATTCTAAAATAAATGCCGTTTCCCCTTTTATCCGAGTATTAAAACATCACAAGAAAGTATTGCTAATTAAGACTTCAAATTCATACACACAATTCATTTTCTATGAACTATCCCAATCGATTTTTCCCCTTTCTTTCGATTATTTTGGTAATTCTTCAAGATTCACAATATTATTGACTTTATCATCCATCCCATAGAAAAACACGTTTAAAAAAAATCAGATCTCGATTATATATATAATTGGAACCAAATTCATCACACATGCAATAGATCAATATCGGTGAGAACCCTATAACCAATAGAGAATGCAATAACGAGATCGATTATTCATCACGTGCTGGCACTACATTTCCTGATCGTCGACGTTTATTGAGTAGAACGTATACCCTTCTGACGATGGGATCACGATTTTTCTTCGTGCATCATCATTTTCCAGGGAAATGTTCTTACATTGGCATTAAGCAACGAATTGACCTATGGATAATGACGTAAGATGAGGCTTATAAAAATTATAATAATTTTTTGGGGGTATTATTATAAACAAAAAAAGTTGAGAGATAATGATTAGATTATTAAATATATCGTTTTTTAATTGATTTTTCATCTTATTTTTATAACTTTGAGACTCAAAAATCCAGATATATATTCATAAATCTTTATTTTCTTCGCAATCATGTTTAATAATTGAATATGCATTTAAAATGAGCTCCATATTATTCAAACCTTATTAAGATTTAAAAAATTTCCCTATACAATATTCGTGAAATAATACAACTTTAACATGCAGATATAATTATTTCTTATCTACAATTTTGAATTATTTAAACTTTAGCTCATTGTTCTACATATATTAATCAAATTAATCGGAATAATTATACTGTAAATTTTAGATAAAAAGTAACGTTTATTCGTATTACTTACGTCACTAATATTTTTACTTTATTAAAATAATCATTTAATTCAAATAAACCGTTATTTCAATTATAATTACTTTAGTTGATCAAACATCAGTCATCACATGGGACGTTTAAAGTTGCTTGACCTCTTTCAGGATCTTGTAACCTATGCACACGAACATCAGGACCAGGTGAAACGCTGCTCGCGTCCTGTGGAGTAATTAAGATATATTGTGTGCAATCCGCTTCACGCGCTGTTTCGATCTATTTAATAGCAAAATAAAAGATTTAGAATCATGATACGTAAAAGATAATAAAAATTCATTGAATTGTGAAAGTTTTGATTTTACCATCATTCTCATGCTTATCCTACGATTAACAGCATCCATGAAAACATCGAATTCATCAAGACTATTATTAAAAAAGTACAAATAAACATAATGAATATATATTTAGAGATAGTAGTCCATGTTAATATGATATAAACCTACCATCGAATAGGGCATCCCATAGCTTCCCAAAGAGCTAACAATAAACAAATGGTAGAAAATGATTTTTCCCCACCAGATAAAGATTTTGGGTCTTTATCGCTACCATGACCTATTTGGTCATTAATTTGAACCTAAATATTAAAAGGTAGTTAATACATTTTTTCTGAGCCCATACGATGAAAAATTATTCATTAAGATATACTAACTCGTAGGGACAATTTTTTATTTGGATGATCAAACATTAATTTTCCTGAATAACCTCGTTTAGATAGCTGATATGAAAATTGTATCCTAGCACGAACGGCAATAAATGTTCTAAAATTACGCCACTTGGACATACGATCTTGCAAGGCAGATTTGAGATCCTAATATCATAATAAATTGAACTTAGTACGTATAAAACATTAGACGTAACAATTTTTTTTAAAAAATATTATTTATTAATTAGCACTTTGACGAATATCTCCATATGTTCTACTTCTTGTTTCGCATTACGATAGGCATCGCACGTAGCTGACATAGCAGATGCGATATCTTCGAGACTTGCACCGTGTCTTGTAGGGAAAAAAAAAGTTAGGCTATTATTCTTATGTAATAGCATTAAAATTTATAAAAGACCTACTTCTTCTCTCTCTCTCTCAGTCGAGCTTGAAATTGTTTTATCTCACGATCTAGTTCATGTGCTGGCTTAGTTACTTCAACTCGTTCAGGACAATAATCTCTCGCTAACCTTGTCCATTCCTATTTATTCGAAGGATCGGCATTCATATGTTAAAATATAAATAATCAAATTTGAGTAAATGAAATAATTAATACCTCAAGAACTTGATTTTTCTTTTCAACTTCAGATGAAGCAGTGGCAATGTTCTCTTTTTCTAATGTTAATTTATTTTCCCAATGTTTCTTATTCATTTCACTCTTTACTCGTGTTCGAACATTTTCTTCAATATTAGCCTTCATGTTTACAAAAAAAAAAAAAAAGTAATAAAACAAATTAACATCATGTTTAGTCATAATAAAATTTTACTATTTAGATGAAGATATTATAAACCTGCCACTCGTATTTGCTTTTTCTCAACTTACACCAAGACCTTCGGCTTCACTTGATAATGCATCCAGCCTTTGCTGAATATCTTCGAATTCACTCACTAAAGGTTCATGTTCATCGGTTAATTGTAATCTTTTTCGTTGAATATTGGCGTATTGTCTCTTGTACATTTCAATTTCACGCTCAGTTTCCTACAAAAAAGAGATGATTTTATATTATTTTTCATGGTTAATTATTACATGCATATAATATAAATATACAGAAATATAGAATGCTATACTTTTTTGACTTCTTCAAGGGCAGCAATATTTGCTGGTTCATCTTGCTAAAATATAAGCATAAGAAAAAAAAATTTTTTTTAAAGAAAGTTAATATTAAAGTAGAATAATTTATCATTGATAATTTGACATTACAAATTATAACCTGTAAATCTTCTTTTAATTGTAAAATTAGATTATTTAATTCTTTTGCTTTACGATGATCTTCTTGGATTTTACGCTAAAAAAATATATATATATGTATATATAAATAACAATTGTCTTCAAATATATAGAAATATTTATATATAGACTAATATTTACCAATAATGCTCTGATTTCATCATTTACTTTATTCAATTCACATTCAGCTCTTTCCAATTCAACCTTGTAACGTCTATTCGTCTCTTTAGAATCCGATAATTTCCTTTCTGCATCTCTAACATAAACTTGGAATAAATATACTGATAATAAATATTGACAAAATTATCGAAATAAATTACCGAATTTGACCATCAATATCTTGTTTAAACCTTGCTGGTCCTCTGTATCTATTGATAGATTGTGTTGAGAAACCACCGCCTCTGAAAATTTAACATGTTTATGGTAGAATATATTAATTTGTGTCATGTAGTCAACGCTAGTTTGGAATACAAAATTACTTACTTATGACCAACTTTATATCCATCGATTGTATAACATCCCTCAACATTATGAGGGAACCCTCTCCCGTTATTATGCATAATCATATCGGCCTCCGCACGTTTTTCAACAAGAATAATCGATTCAATGCGATTATTGTTGATAAGACGGCGTTTAACATTGTTATCAGTTATCTATGAAGTTAAAGGTTACTACATAACAACAGGAAAGTAATAATAATAAGACCGATTGAATACCTGTAATGCGCGTAAGATAGTAAGAAATCGCCTATCAGGTTCTCCATGCGTGTAATCGAAATCGTCATCTTCACCGATAATAATCGGAGAATTACTAAGAAATAATGAGTTGGATGAGTATATGCGGAAAATACCAAAAAAAAAAAAAATTGATGTATATACCAATTAAATCTTTTCAAGATGTCCGATAAAAGCCTTTGATCTCTATGGTTATTAACAGCAAATGTGCTTAACGTATTACCAATCACAGATTCAAGAATATCACTCCAATCAGGTTTTAACAATTTCATATATAATCCAAAGGGTCCCACAGGTATCTTATTCCACCTTTTCTCTATACTAATAGCATTAAGTACATCCGGAATCGTAGGACCGAAAATCTTAAGATTGTTACTCTTCTGCTCCCTTAATTGGTGCAAGAGATTTTCATTACGTGCAATGTCTTCTTGGTTTCTTCGTAGATCCCCCTCCCAAGACAATTTTTGGTTGCGAATATGAACACTTTTTTCTTCAAGCTCAGTTAATTGTGATCTACATTGCTTCTGCTCCTCGACCAATGTTTCAAGTTGCTCTTCTGCGGTTCTAATAGCGTTCATTATGTCATTACGCTTTTGACGATTAACATCTTTAAGTTTCTGAGTTTCCTCATCTATTCTGTGTTGATGTTTCTCAACATCTTGCTTCAAACCTTTAATCGAATCATTAATTTCTCTCTCTTCATTCTATAAATAAACAATAAATTTACGTCAATATACAAATCTAATTGAATTTTTTTTTGAATTCTATTCAATTATACATGCCTTTAGTTCATTTAATTGTCTCGTCTTATCTCTAATGAGAGAATTTAATTCATTTTTTCTCTCTTTCAAAGGATTAATAGAAAGATTTGTCAAATCATGATATTTTTGCTCCAAATCCAAGACAATTGTATTAATTTCATCAAATTCAGCCTAGAATGAAATCAAAAAAAAAATTAAGTAATTATCTAAATAATAAATCTATTGATATTTAATAAATAATTACTTGTTCCTTATCGAGCTTTACTTGTAAATTTGGTAAACGTTTCATGGCTCGTTGTGAAACCCTCTCGGCCTCAGCAACTTCTTGTTCTTTTTCTTCAACTTGAGCCCAAGCCATCTGATTCTTCAACGAGGCGACGGTCAACTCAAGTTCACGAGCTTTTTGCATATCTTTATATCGCGCCTCTGCTTCCCTAGCTTCCTTGAGAAGCTCCGGAATAACTTCTTTTTTATATTTAATTATATTTTGTGTAGTATCAATACTTTCGCGTATAAGCTCGTAATCTTCACTTAATTGGGTCAATTGTGTTCCCTTCATAAAAAACTTATAAAAAAAGAAATCATTTAGAGAAGTTAGAATTTGCACTATTGTATTTTCAACGATAGGAATATACCTTATATTTATCTTCAGGGCTCGATGAATGTAAAAATTGACGTGCAGTATCTTGAGACAACACATTCATAGGGTTATCCACTTGTATAGCCATATGATCTAGAATGGCATTCAATTCTTCCCTCTTGTCAGAGACGGTCCTTTTTCCATCATGAGTTTTTATCTTGTATCTATTACTCCCATCACAAGAAATACGACGTTCAATAATAATCGAATCACCATATATATCATGCTTAAAAGCATCTTCCCCGCGATTTCGAAGTTTTATAGTAATTTGTGCAACACTACATAACATATAAAATTGAATTTTATCCATGTAAATGTAAAAAAAAAAAAGTAATAAGATCAATAAATTACTTGGAGCCTTCTCGAATAAGCGATTTTAAGTTTGAAGCACGGTTTGTGACATTAGCTTTTCCTCCAAGACAGACAGTAATTCCTGTTAAAATGGCACTTTTTCCACCTGAATTAAAAAAATTTTCTATTAAAAAAAAAAAGAAAATCGATATGAATAATGATAATTATTATAATAAATACTCACTTCCATTGTGGCCAATGATGAAATTAATTTTAGGACCGAAAGGTACTTTGAGAAATTTATGACACATAAAGTTTACTAATTCAATTGATTCAATCACACCAGATTCTGCTGTAGCCTAAATAAAATTTATCAAATTTTCTTCCGAGATTTAAATCCCATTTAACTTATATTGATAACCAAAGCAAAATAAAATAACTAAATTCTTCACCCCAGTAGTACTCTTCCTTTTTAGTCTCTTTCGTTCTCTTTCTTCAGCAGCTTCTTCTTCGTTTTCAACTTCTTCTTCCTGTTCTTCTGATATGTTGTCAGGAAACGCGTTTATTTCTGCAGTTTGTGAGCGACGAGCGCGTTTGGAATGTGATTGTGAATGAACAACTGATCTAGATCTTGACCTAGTTTGACGCTTTTAAAACAATAGTAAGTTTTTAGTTATTTTATTGTAATGTATTAATGGAAAGTATTTTGTTATAATATGACACAAATAAAACGTTCAACGTCTCAACTTGAAAATGTTTCGGAGACGTAACTCGAATAAACGCTTATTAAACTCACCTGACCACTAGCAACTTCCTCTGTTTCACTTTCTGACGCTTCTGAGCGTTGTCTTTTTGATGACATTTTTTTTTTTATTTTTTTTTTCCACGAATTGAAAAAGATTAGAAAGATGTAACGCGGACGCGTTATATGTCAAAAGGAATCTTTATCTTGACCAAATGGAGCTACTTAAATTAAGATGATCGACGCAATACTGTAATGTATTGTCATGTGACACCGATGATTTATTATTTGACAAAATTGGTAAAATTGATATGTATTTGTAACAATAATAACTTTATATATTGTTGAAAATTAATATAAATTATATAAATTGTTTAATTAATTAAAATATTAAAAATATAAAGTTGATAAATCATTTCTTATTCTTTATAATTATTTAATATATAAATATATGCAAAATAATTTTTAAAAATTGTTTACATTTTAAAGATTTGATGAAAATTATGAAAGCATATTATATAGAACAAAGTTTTTTAAACATTTATTATTCTTTTTAAGCAAATTTTTATTTATCGATAATATTATTCAAACTGCAAATATAAGAACTTATTCATAACAAATCAATTACTAAAGATCATCCGTCAATTTTTGCCTCTTTGGTACCACGTCATTGGGTTTCTTTCGTAAAAGGTTACGTTTTCTTTCGGCTTTATTCAAATTGTTTGCTGATACTTGAGTTTGATTGGTCGTAGCTTGAATATTTGCTGGCACGTTAATCGATCTTTTTGTAATGTCACCAAAGGGTCTCCTCTTTTCGACTCTTTCAACTTTTTCCTCTTGTAACGACTTAGAACTTGTTAGAGGCAAAGCGGGGATCATAATCGAAGTAGAAACGGTAGGATCACTTTTAAGTTGAGTTGAGATTCGTTCCAAAGGTTTCTTTTTCTCAATTTTGGAATTAACCTTGGAAAGTGATAGGATCTTTTTTTTGTGTGTGACAGTAGGAAAATTTCTTTCTTCAGTTTCATTTAAATTGTCTGAAGTCGCTTCTTGCGCAGCTTTTTGTACAATTACTTTTTTCTCAATATGAGGCTGTGTTACGAATTCTTGTTGTATATCCTAAAAAATGAACATAAGCAAATGAAAGAAATGAAAGAAACAAATATATGACAGAATATAAATGTCATTCATTTTACCTGTGACGAAGACGAAGACGAAGTCGGCATACCAACTGCAGGGGTAGATGATGATGCTTGTTCGGGTTTTTGGATAAGATCCTTTATGCGATAAGATTCGAATTGAACAAAATGTTCAAAAAATTTAAAACAAAAAGGTGGAAATTCATTTAAAATTATCTCAAATACCTCCGTATTAAGTGATTTATTATCTTCCATCGCGTGTTTCAATGTAGCCTGTCTCGCCTTTTGAATAAATAAAGATTTGTTTTCCTTAAATTCACTTGCCTATCAAGTTTATCAATAATATTAATGAAAATGTTAAAGGATTTGGAGAAAAAATGAAAACAAAGGTATTTCTCAATTGTACAATTTCAACTAAAAGAGGATCGTCCGGATTTGGATCCGCCATTAAAACACTCAAAGACGTCAAAGTAGTTGAAATATTCAACGAGGGCTTCCATGATCCCTATAATATGAACATATTGTTTATTATTAATTTGCTTCTAATCATAATAGGGAAAATAAATTGACGTGATATTACATTTGGCGGCATTTTAAGAATGTCAAGACAAATTCTTCCTGCATCATCCACGTTTGGATGATAAATCGGGGTAATAAATTGCATTTTTGGAGGTTCCATAGGATAGCTATCATAGTGAAAGTGATTAGCAAGAAAATCAAATAGGAAATCATCAAGAAAGAAAACTTACCGTGACGGAATCTGAACATCCACTTTGAATAGACCGTCCTCATAAGGTGTATCTTTCGGTCCTTTGATTTCTATTGAAGGGAAGAACAGAATAAAGTCAAATATGATGCATTTTTTCAGGGAAAATTTAAAAAAAAAAGAAACTTACGTGAACAAAAGTGTAATAAACTATCATCAATTGGATAACAAACTATGCCCGGCGGAGGATCGCATTCCAGTATTTCTTTGAAAATATGAAAAAGATTCAATGAAGTTTACGCGTTTGTGAATAAACTAAAAAAGGTAACGTACCTAGTTCGCGTTTCATACGAGGTAGTAGCTGACTCGAAGACATTGTACGTAATTTCAACTAAAGTAAACGCGAAAGGAAAAAGAAAATGAGAAAAGAAAACTTTGAACAGAATAGAATTATATTCAAGTTTGCGTCACTTCCAGATTGGGAAATGTAACCCGCACCTGCAAAATTTCTAGGAAATTCTGATTTTGGCTGGAATTAATTTCAATATTTACATTGTCTCCGAAACAAAAATTCGGAAATTATTTATTTACGTTGCACTTTTTTTTTGGCAAGTTAATTGAAATGTCGATTCCCATTTCAGAGAACAATGAAAGGATTTCTATGATTTTTAAACGCGTTTTTTTTAGGGCACGCGTCTTTATATTAACGATTGCAAAGCTTCACTTGTAAAATGATACACTGAAAAGTTTTTAAGTTTTTTTGACTTTAGTAAGGTATTTATTTTGAATTCAGAGAAAAAATATTTGAGAAAAATTCTAAGATTTAATAACACACAAATAAAGGAAAAAATATTGTACAAGAGTATATAGAAAAATATATAAAAGAAAATATATAAATTAATAAAATACCAATAAAGCTCATTTCTTTTCCTTATCTCTAATTACCTTTGGATGAAAAACGAAATAAAAAAAAATAAACAAAAATACCGAATTATTTTTGTTTTTAAAATATAACACCGAAATGAAATAAAAAAAAAGGAAGGTAATTAAAGGGAAAAAGAAATAAATCCTAAAAGTATTTTAAATATTTATATTATATAGAAGATTTTTTTTTTTTAAAAATGTAATAATAATATTTACTCTCCCGTCTTCTCTTTTTTTTTTTTTTTTTTTTTCTTTTCCCCCCTCCCACAGGGAGAATTTTTTTTCTTGGATTTTTTTTTTTTTTAAAAAAAGAATTTAATTTTTATGTTTAAACTATAGATTTTAATTAATTTTATACATAATGAAAAAAAAGAAATAAAAAGGAAAAAAAACTTGTATGTACAGGTATACACATTATTTATAAAAATATATATATATATATATACGAAAAATATACAGAAGAAATTTTGATGATATTTATAACGAAAGAATCTTTTTTTAAAAAGATTACTTTCAAATTTTGGTTTTTTTTTTTTTTTAAAAAGTTTTATGTTTTTATAATTGGGGGGGTTTTTTTTTTAAAAAAATAAAGTGGCACTATTGTAACGAGTATATATATGAAAAAGAAAAAAAAATAAGATTAAACAATTCTTTAAAGAAAAAAAAGTAATTTTACCCTTTTAATAATATTAAAGAAATTCTTTAACCTTTTCTGTAAATTTTTTGGAGTAAAAAAAAAATTCTCTCAAACAAAAAAAAAAGATCGTAGTTTTTTTTTTTTCTTTTCGAATTTAAAAAAGGATTCCGAAATTTATATTTTTCATAAAAGAAAAAAAATTTATCGATAGTCTATATCGAATGGAAAAAATATATATTTTCGATATTTACAATTTGTTAAAAAAAAAAAAAAAACAAAACAATATAATTTTGTTTTTTTTTTCTTGGCGTTATTTACGAAAGAGTTCGTTGTTTTTTTTTTTTTTTCGGAATTAATTGGAAAAAGTTGTTCATTGTCTAAAACATCGTTATTTTTTTTTTTGAAGGGGTATTTTTTTCATCATATTATTACGAAATGAACGCGTGCGATACGATTTCGTTGTTAATAAGCGATGGTAGAATTATTGTCAGTGTATTCACTACTATTTTCGTCATAAACTTCTCTTTCAGGATGTGTCATCCAATCCGATATAGGTCGATTGCCATGTTTGAATGATGAAATTGGCGAGGAAGGTGTCGAATTAGCTTTTTCGTATCGATGACCAATTAACGAATTATCAACATCCTGATGATTATTAATATGCACATCGGTATTATCTATTGATGAACTCGAAGGAGAACTTGAGCAGTAAACAGCATTCACTCCTTCTACAGCATTACTGTGAACGGGAAGCCGGTAGGAAGAACCGGGGGGAGTGGTCTGGTTCACGTGATGTTGACGTGTGTTCAGAACATTTGAGGAAGGTATTGATTTAGAATTAGGTTTTCCGCACGAAGAAGAAGAAATCTTTTGTTCAAAGGCCAAAGCTTGTGCGAACTTCTTTCTAATGGCCAATCTTTCGTAATGTTTCTTAATATTTTCAGGTTCATTTTTCCACATTTCACCAATCTTAATCGAAGGGGTTATGTAATTGCAATCAGAAGAGATATTGTTATTATTATTTTTTAAACTGGAACTTGAAGTTATCGTTACAGCCGCATTACGAATCGCTGAAATTCTTTCTTTTATCTTCTGTCTATTTATGGCCGTGTTGATGTTTACGGTTGGTGTAGAATGACCTAAAACTGTCCGACGATTAAGGTTAAGAGCGTTGACGTTCATGTTGAGATTGCGTCGTTTTTTCTTCATGATCCCCCCATTATTTGCACAAGATGAGGAGGGATTGTTTAAATTGAGATTCCTTCTTCTTCTTAATTCAATATCATTAATATCATTAATGGAATGTAATTGATGTCCATTACCAGAAAGGAGGTTAGTCCTTTCTGTATTCATCAATTGTCTTGAAAAGTTTGAAGTAGCAACAAGACTATTAGTTGTAAGGTAAGTGCGGGGGACGAGAATTGGGTGAAAACCTTCAGGTATCCAATATTGTTGCATGTTCTCTCTATCGCACGGGAACCTTTGCACTCTAGTCTCAAATAATGCCGTAGCGGCTGAATTTGTGGAGGAAGAATTATCATCAGCCATAAGGGGAGAGGTCGTTTGTTGATGTTGTTGCTCATTATCGGGGGAAGATTTTGTTTTTGAATACACGAGAACTTCATATCTAAGAGACTTTGTCAAACCCATTATTAAAATTGTATTTTTTAGAGGAAAGAAGAAAAGAAAAAAAGGAGTAACGAAAAAAATGAATTTAATAATGAGGAAGTCGTGAAAGAGGAAAAGAGAAGAAAGAGGAGAGTGTTGATATGAAATTCTCGTGCACTAAACAAAGATGATGAGATTTTTTTTTTATTTGAAGAACTTTTATTAAAAATCCGTTATTTGTATAAGATGAGAAAAAAAATTTTTTTAATCGGTCTAAAAGTTGGTCATTTTATTTCTTTTTTTTTCTGAAATGAGAAAAAAAAATTTTTTTGAATTAGTTTAATGTAAAAAAAAAAAAAAAAAAAAAAAAATGACTAGAAAAAAAAATTTTTTTTTCCTTTTTTTTTTTTTATTTATTAAAATAACGGGAATCAACGGTAAATCATGGAAGAGCACGCATCAAACAAAAGGAAAGGATTAAATTGTGATTAGAGAGAGGGAAAGTGGTAAAAAAGAAGGGAGAGAAAAAAAATGGTAAAAAAAAAAAAGAGAGAACAAGAAAAAAAAAATGCATGTAAGTACGCTTTTCGAATGCTAATTCATACATTATAATGCCGTGTAATGATAAAAATCGTCAAGAAACAAAAGAAAAGTTTGAAAAGAAGAAATAGAAAAGGGAGTGGGCATGTAAGTATATGTAATGCATACGCGGTATGTAAAATATATTAACATAATCATTGTTTTATTAAAGAAAAAAAATTTATTATCCTAAATTTGTAAAACAATTGTTACACCATTGTTAATCTTATACAATAGGGTTACATTAGAAAGTTGTTTCAAAATTTTAGAGAGAGAGATGTTTATAAATAATAAAGCATAATAATATAAATAAATCATTTTTGACGAGACACCTGTCGTAGTCAATCATTCCTAATTCAGAAAACAATACAGAATATGGTGGCCTATTGTTATTTTTTCGAGAGAAGAGAGGTAAAACCACAAGAAGGCGATTTTTTTTTTCTTTTAGATGAGAACAATGGAACCAGGATTGATGCAAATTCGGTAAATTCCGAGAAAATTTTTATCATTCCGGGAAATTTTTAAACGTTTTTTATATTATTGAAATGTATTTACAATGGAACGACTTCGGGAAAATTTTTGGTTATCAAAAAAAAATTTCCGGAACATTTGAAACCTATTTTCAGCCCTGAATGGATCCCAAAGCGTTGGAATTCAAAGGTAATGGTTTGAATGCCACAAAAAAAAAAATATAATATAATCCAGAAACACTTGTTATTATTCTTGACACAAAAAAAATTTTTTTTTTTCCTTAAACAGATTAAAATGAGGAAAAAATTTTTTTATTTTTTCTCCATTTCTCCATACAAGATTTCCACGATTCCCAATCCCCACACCAGATGATTTACTTCATCCAACAGACCAACAGAAAAATAAATTTCAGATATTTTTCATTATGATGATCCCTCGCACTTTACCTAAAACGTATCATCAAGCAATATTGCATCATTTATCATCCCTCATGTGTAAATTTCGATTTCTACATAATGGTACATCATTTTTAACTCTTGTATTGTATAACTGTAGATTACAAAAAAAGTTTGACAATAATCCGTAAAGTATTTGATTATTTTTCGGAGTTAATATCTTGACACAAATAAATATTTCAAACTAGAATGAATTTAAATTTAAGCTCAATTTATCTTAATTTAGTCTAATAGTTCGACTTAAACATGTAACACTGTATTAGATAATACAGATAACAATGGAAATTATTCAAATAAATTTGACACATGCATCATTAAAAAAAAATACACAGTCCGAGTATCCTATGGGGTATTCAAACAGGTTATCAAACGAGTCAATTAAATGACCATTTTATTTATTCACATACTACACAAACAACACGAGCGAAAATCGAAACAAAGATTCCATTGTAAAAATTGTTTCAAAGAGAAAGAAAACGTGTAAAAAAAAAAATATTTAATTTTATTAAAAGCAAATATGCTCAAATGTTTATCAATTCATCGAAAATAATAAAGTATTCTTAATTTTCCGGTTAAATTAAATATATCATATTTCATATTATACATATTGTATCACTACTGTAATATAATGGGTTACATTATATAAGAATAAAGCAGGAGATTTGTCGTAAGTTTCAGCCCTTTCTTCCAATTAGATTGATTAATTATCTGTACAAATATAAACATAAAATTGAAAGCAAGATCATTTTGGCTGTCCCTAGATTTTTTTTTTTTAATATGATATACATTTCTAACGAAACAATGAACAGCAAATTAACAAGTGGTTTTTTTTTTTTTAAGCGAACAATGAGAAAATTATATCTTTATATCTTTATGATTTTGATTTGTTTAACATACAACGCCATTTCTTTTGTCTGCGTCATTGATTAAGAAACGCGTTAAATTTGGTTAAAAAAATCCAGTAAACTCCTAACTGAATTTGCTTAGGTGATATATATAACGATACAAAGAATATTTTTATTTTTAATTGTCTTTTATCTTACCCCACAAAAAAAATATTGCTATCTTTTCTCCTTATGGTTGATATGATGTATATATGTTTCTCGTAAAATGAGAATCAAATCTAACCAACATAAATTATTTTTTGAAAGAGAGATGCGATAGCACATACAGTATGATAAAGTAACACGATGATCTTGAACTGATCCGACCAGAAATACCTGCATCTCGTCAAAGGGTACCATTTTACCCTATCTATATTGAAACATGATGAAATAAATTTTAAAATTAACTGCATGCTATGTAATGCTAACGCGAGTTTGTGATTATACCACACAAATTCGACGGAATTGATAAAAGTAATCCCTAAATAGAGTACCATTCACTTTTTCTAAAAGCTTCTTTTTTTTTTTTTGTCGAATAAATAAACATTTGGTAATTAACAATGAATATAATCAAGAGGATGATGTTAATAGATATATTTGGGGTTGTTTACCCCATTGTTTTTTATGTCCATTGTTCTTTATCGTATGTATATAAAAAAAAAAATAATGACCTCGCTATTGACTGAAAATTTCTCAATTTTTCTGGTCATATAATTTATTTTCAACTGTACCCCATAACCTAAATTATTTCATCCCCCGCTACCAATTGTAATATGTATTGTATTAATCAGTGACACGTGATTATTATTAATTTATGGTTGTGGTTCTATTCAGGCTCAACTATAAAACCACTTTTGTATTCTTTCAATATAAAGAACATATATAAGAATGTACGCGACAAACACGTAAAAAAAATAAAACAAATGAAGAGGACAGGTTTACGTCCATTATTTTCCTTTTAAATCCTTATTTACAACGCCAATTTCACAAGACTTTACATAAGTGTCTTAAAAGTTTAGCTTCCCGTCAATCAAATTTATTACAATCACATGCCTTTATTGTTTCCTTTTATCTAATGCATATAAACAAATAAGCAAAATGATTTTATAATGACGATATCGACACTCGACACGAATGACTTATCAAAGACCAAGTATGTTAATGCTCATGGATTAATCTAACTAAATGTAAAAATTCAAAAATTTCTTTTCTTTTGAGGGATCTCTATTTCTGAACAGATATTTCCGTATTCTCTGTTATTTGTGGTTGGTTCTTTCACCGATAAAGCTACGCCCTCTCACGATAATAAATCTTTTAATCTTTTGAAATTCTATAATTTTTTACTTTTTCATTGATTTGTCTCTTTAATAAAATAAAGGGATTCATCTCCATAAATATATATAAGAATCATATTAAATAAATGTCCGGTTTCTTATTCTACTATTATTTATTTAACAATTATATTTTAATTTCGGAAAAGTAATCAATTGGTGGATATTATTGTAAGTTCTTAACAATTAAAATCTAAAGATAATGATACCTTAGAATACAAGTTTCTTCTATTAAGGATGATCCCTGTAATACGAGAGCACTTAACAAAAGTCGATCAATTATTTTTTTATTTTCTTTACAGTTTATTGTGAGATTGATACTTGCACGTTATTTATTTTAAGATAAAGGATCATTTCTTTAAAATGCTGTGTATAATTTATTACTCGCATCCATTATAAAATTTCAGAAGGCGGCGTAATGTTTCAAAAAGAAGAATTTCCAAATATATGAATTTAGAAAAGTAATTTAATTTAAGACTTTCAACTATTATTTACTTTATATTCATAGTTGCAAAATTTTGATTGAAAAGGTACCATACGTGAAAGGCAGGAAGTTTATTTGCCATTCGTCTTCATTTTTTGGTAATTTTTATTATTTGTAAGTATTGTAATAGAATTATTTACCTAAAGAATAACATCAACGAGATCATTCCTATGTATTTTGTTATTTTAAGGAAAATTAATATTAATTAGTCCAATTTTTTTTTTTTATGTTCATGTATAAGCTGGGTATCTTCTTGATCCTAAATATCGTTATATAATTCTCAAGTTATAGCGTATGGATCAAGCAGATAAAAGGGAGTGAGAAAAGAAGGATCGGTCGAAGCAATTTCGGATGAAACGTAAAAATTATTTAAATGATTATATTATCTTCTGAATCAAGTCGTTAAAAGTTCTTTAGTTTTCCTAATGATTTTTTTTCTGTATTCCTATTTATATCAGTTGATGTAGTTCTCTTTTGAAGTTAAAGGCATGTTCCGAGAAGTCGTCAATTTTAATTTTAATTTTATTATATATATCTCGTTTATTTCTATAAACACCATTAAATGTTTAAGCGATTTCAATTTGATCTTTTATATATGAAATAAAGGTGGAATGAAAGCTAACATGGAACAATAATGTTGATGTTTTTAAGCATTAGATATCCTAATACATCCATTTACTTTTCTCTTTCAGCGTTTCATGGGAATACTTGGGTAGTTTGAACAGTTTAACCATTTTAAGGATGTCTAGTGATATAAATGAATGAGAATTTAAGTCTGCAATGTCTTTTTATGATTGATGAATGAATAATAATTACAAATATAATCCTTTTAATTGCT